ACCATAGTCCGACATATCGGTTGAAGATTGCAGTCTCATATCCCTCCGGTCCGCCATCAACTTGAGCGTTTCGTCTGAGAGCTTTTGAGATTTAATACGGCGCGGGGCCTTATAGAACTTAGACCCCACAGCTTGGACTGTTTCTACAAACCCGTTGTTTATTTCGTCCACAGACTCGCATTCAGCTAGACACTGAAAGCGATTGTGTAGTTGGAGTTGGAAGGCTTCGGGGTCCACGATATGAGTAGCACTAGGACGGAGCGTAGACTTCATCAGACGTAATCTTTCGAGCTTAACATTGATATTCAATGTGCCTCTAACGATTCGGTGATCGCTACCGGTTTTCACCCTGCTGATCACGGAGACATCATTGAATATGTGCTTTCTGGTTGTCATGATGAAGTCGATCTCATTTTTTGTCAAACCATCAGGGCTCATCCAGGTCCACTTCCTGGAGGGTCTCTTCTGGAAGTAGGAGTTCATCGCAAAGAATCCCTCCTTCTCCATAAAATCGACCAGCTTCTGGCCCCAGTGGTTGCGCCGCTCATACCCAAATCGACCCACCCTCAACTCATCGCCGTTCGAAGCGCCCAGCTTCGCGTTAAAGTCCCCCATTACAACGGTGAAGTAGGTATTAGTCGTATGTATGGCTTCAGAAATCTCCTCATACATAGCCTTTACCTCATCGTCGGAGTGTGAAGAGGTCGGGGCGTAAACCTGTATGACCTTCAGCGAATACCTTTCGGTAATTCTGAGTATAAGGTACGCCACTCTGCTCGACACACTATCGATCTTCACCACGTTGTTCACGAGGGACTTGTGGACGAGAAACCCAACACCACCTTGAGATTTTTGATCTCCTTCCCGGAAGAAGAGCATGTTACCGGACTCAAGGATTACCGTATCCTGGCCCTCTCTTCGGATTTCGGATAATCCCACTATGTCCCATCGCAACTTGCTCAATTCTTCCTCCAGCTCTAATAACTTCACGTCAGTCCTCAGTGTGCGGACATTGTATGTTGCCAGGGCCAGAGTCCGTTTGTGTTGGTAGCGCCGAATCTGCCGGGGATTCTTAGCACCCCCTGCCCCTCCGTTACCTGTCCCGCTACCAGAGACAGGAATAGAGGGGCTGCCGGGGACTGGGGGCCATACAACATTGTCGTCCATCATGAGGGGGGGGGGGGGTTGCCATAATCCCCACGCTTGGCAGGCGACTTGGGGATCGCAGTAGGTGGTGGTAGGTGATACCGGGAGGCGCTGCTGCCCGCCTTCCGTATAATCCCTCACTCCTACGACACCCACGGGAGGATATGGGGGGGTGCTACTCTTAGGCCGGCACCCCACGGCACTTTTATAGTTACATCCTGTTAATAATTTCTTTCTTCAAGAGATGCAAAGCAAATGTTATGTTCCGGTTTAATCAGGCAAACATTATATATTTTCGTAAAGCCCTCAATGAAATCCAAATAACTAAAACTAAATTGATCGAAGTAACATATCAGAACATATTTCTGTAAGCACTCTCCAAAACTAGTTGGAGCACGTAATTTCTTAAACAAACGCTTTTATCGGTAGAATGTTACCGCTTCATACTTTAAGTACCTACATCGTTCTAGTCGGAGAGCTCGTGACAAAAATGTGGGAGAGGTTTCGTAAGCTTGATATTTCAATATGTTGAAATGCTCACAATCGTATCTTTAGTCAAGAGAAGTATTTAATTGAGAATAATGTACGTACGAGTAAGTCGATATTCGAATTGAAATGAAGTAAGAAATATTGATTTCTTATATTTAAAGCACACTATCTGTATTTATTTCTTATGTGTATTTTCCCAAAACGTCAATAAAATATAAATAAAAACGTGATAAAACCGTTTAAATGTTATTCCATTAATGAAATAATTAATGTTAATTGTTAGAATACTAATTATGTATATTTGATAAATTTTGCATTCACAATGCTATACTAAAAAAAACATATAAATAATACTATTATTTTTAGCTATTAACAGTTCTTCATTATCATCATCATCATCTACAGCTGTACGACGTCCACTGCTGAGCAAAGGCCTCCCCCATTGATCTCCACCACGACTGGTTTTGCGCTGCTCGCATCCAGCGTCTTCACGCAACCTTTATAAAATTGTCGGTCCACCTGGTGGGGGACCTACCCAATGAGCATCGTCCGGTACGCCGTCGCCATTTTAGAACCTTTCCACCCCAACGGCCATTGATTCTTCTAGCTTTGTGTCCCACCCCCTGCCACTTCAGCTGGGCAATTCTTCGAGCAAATCTTTGGTTCTCCTACAGATTGCTTAGTTCTTAATATAATCTTGTAGAGAAACTCCACACATTTATCTCTTTATTGCCCGCTGAGTGACCTTGAGTTTTCTTCTGAGACCCATAGTGAACAATCATCCAAACTGTATTCGACGTAAGATCTCTTTCTCGAAGTTGAACTTATCTAACTGGACTGTCTGTTCTAAGAACATATAATAGTCGACAAATTCAAGAGTAGAACTCTCAATATTAACTGAAGTGGGTACAACATGAATATTTGACATAATTTTCGTCTTATTCATGTTCATCTAAAGACCCTATCTTTGGGATGCACTACTGAGATTTTCTAGCATGGTGTTAATAGTTCTTACTTCATTAAAATTCTCGTCTGTTGTATTATTTATTACTTACACTCAAGTAATTACTCCTAATCGTCTATAGATAATTAGAGTAAAGGTATACATTACTCAGTACCCAGTGTGGAGGTTAGTTGCTGGAACACATGATGGCGGCGGGGCGAAACAAATATCTAGGGATTGCTTAATATGTTTGTTCTATTCAATCGAAGTCTGAGTATTATTTAATAAACCAAGTTAGTAATAATTCAGAGATAAATTGAATTTCAACCATTACGAAACTCTTTTACGGAGAACATTTTTACACCAACTTCTGAGATATGCTGAGTCACCACGTACACTATTGTATAATCTGAGCAGTTTAATCTACTTTTTCATATTAAGCCAGACTTATTCGCTAATTTTAAACTATTAAAAAGCACCTACATTGTACTGAAATATCAAGCTTTAGAAATCTCTTGCCCATTTTTGTCTCGAACTCTTAGACTATTCAGTATGCGGGCGAGACTCCAGCTAGTCGATGTTTGCGTTTAATCTGTTCGAATCTAGCACTAAGTTCACTTAAATTTCTACAGTTATACGCTTTAGCAAACAGTTTCACTGACTTTTTAAATTAAGGGCGTTTCAGTTATCTCTATATGCGCTTTTAACTATATTGCTGCAAGATAAATAGGTTCATTCTTTTGAGAAAAGTTTCCTTCTACTATAGCTTTGGTCACATTAGTTATAATATAATTATTATCCAGCTCTATTTTGTAATTATTAGTCTCGTTTTCTACTGATTTTTGGTCGACATTATAAATTCGCCATTTCTAATTCGCTCGACTGCAACGAGTGGCATTAATCACTCGGCGCTTAGCGAACACTATACGAGTGATAGAATAAACGTAAAAACATGAAATGAGTAAATGACGTTTATGGCTATTTTGTTTACATTCACACATTTTTGTTTAAATATTTGATAAAAATATTTTAATACGAAGAATAAAATTCAATATTTCGAATCATGTTGGCCAATAACGGCGTCATGCGACTAAGAAGTCAAGCGCGACTTAGGTCGTATACGGCAAAGAGATTTAAACGAGTGATTACAAATAGATCTCCAGCACAAAGACTAACAGTTATTTCATAACTGCAATCGATTTTGCGGGTGTCATTACCACTAAACTCTTATTTTACCTAGTGAACCGGCTGTAGTGATGGCCAAGTTTGTGTCTTATATTTGGTTTGACTGAGCAATTATAAAAAAAAAAATTCCTCAGATCTGAGTGATTGTTGTCTGTAATCGTTTCGTATCTCCAGTATATCTAATGTCAGTTTCATTGTATTTTACCTTAAAACCAGCGTGTAAGTTACGCGGTTACGGGGGTACTTCTGTTTATTGTTTCGAGTACAAATATAGCAGTTCCTTCGTTATTTCATACTCATTCCCATTCGCTTATAATAAAATCTGAGAAATATGGGTGCAAATTGAGTAACATGTGTGAATTATTTTGAAACTAACTAAATATGGGATATATTTAGGTTTATAGCAGTTCCTACTTCAATCAGAGTGATTATAAAAAAGTGTATTCGTAATAAAAAAAGTTTAATTTTCAGTAATTCTATAAAATATAAATTACTATCTTAAAAAACTTAATATGACACTTATAATAATACTAATGTTACTATTAATTCATCTATAAATATCTTAACAAACTTGTTACTATTATATATGTATTTATAAATGATATTCTTAACAGTATTTATCAACAAACTATAGTTTTACAAAATAAAATCTACTGTTTCTATAAAAATTTCTAAGTCTTTAACAAAAAACATTCTGACATTTAACTGAACATTAAAATCTAATTTATTTACACATTTCTATCCTCTTACGAATAACAATATGTCAAACATAACAACATTCAACAAATAGAAATAATTAATCTAATATAACATATCCATGTAACATTTTCATAGTAACAAACTAGAAAAAATCACATTAACAATTCTCCTTTTAGCGATATTGACATTTTTTCTCAGTTAACAAAAGTCGCGTGTATAATTTGGCTTCTAATTTATATACTATAATTGCCACTTATGATTTTTAGATTTTATCTGGAATATAACTTTCGACATTTTTCTTCAAATAATGATATAACAAGTGATGAGAAAAATTCTATACAAACATGAACTAACTTAACAAAGTCAGCAATAATAAAATATTGAAGGTCTCCTAGACTATAATTATAAACATTACGTTTTAACCAACATTAAAATAGAACGATTTACCAATACAAGTATGGCTCAAAGCAGAGTAACTAATTTCTAATTCTAAACAAACTGTGAAGCCTGTCTAAATGTGTTCTATAAACTTATTGTTTTATGATGGTGTGGATACAGTATTCCTAATATAGAGGTCGTTTTGTTTAAGTACAGCAGTTTTGCCGTGTTTTCTTAATATACAGAGAGCTAGTGACAGCAAAAAATGCAACAGTTTTATAACAGTTGACACTGCAGTATGTTGAAATACTGAGAGTACATCACTTAGAATTAATAGTTCCACCACCTGACTTTTGCATTGGATATTTTAATATACTGCAAGATACTGAAATATCAACCGTTATTAACTAAATATTAAACGTTCTAACACATTTTTGTCTCGAGCTCTTGAACGGTCATGAAGGTAAAGTATACGCAGTGGATAAATGACTGCATAGCGAATAATTCCATGACAATATTGAAAACGAGGCAACAACTTCTCTCAGTACATCTTCGTCATCGGACACAGGACACCCGATTGTCCTTAATAATTTACCAATTTCGACGGACCGTTTTCTTTTTAGATTTGAACAGAGAATATGCATTCCTATGATTCTATGTTGATTTACCATTACTGTCAATGCTCCTCGGATTCTTTTGGCTCTACTTTTGGTTCAGCTTGAGGTTCCTCTTGTGGCTCAGCCTGGAAACCATACTCAGGATGGGCTCTGTAGTTGACCACACGCAGTTTACCAGTTTTGTCCATGTAGCCATAATGACCTTGCACGAGACCATCATTGTCGCGCTCTTCGTAACGGAACTGGCGATTTTTTCTGCAATCGAGTAAAATTAATGAGTATAACTCTTTATGATTGTACTAAGAAAGCAGCCATCCGACTATAGCGAGTAAGAAGAAGATGCCATAACATTTTCAATAGAATTGTAAATCTATAATACTTCCATCGACTATTCTAAGAAACTGTTTTTGAGCTGTAATTCTCGAATAAACACGGTCTTGGTAAATAAGATTCATATATTAGACGCGATCCATAATAGGCTATTATTATTTGTACACGAGCATTTCGCGTATAATAACGGCTGCGATATTTTACTAACTAAGATATCAATTATGTTTCTACTTCCAGAAGAATGTTTTTGGTAAAATAACTAATCGTCGAAAAGCTTATTCCTATGTATAGTTTGAATATTTTTTATCCGATTTCTAAAAAAGAGGATGTTCCCTATTCCTCACGTATATGATTTACGTATGTTATTATCGATTATTCCCCAAATTCTTGACTGATTTTCATAATTCTCATTTAATAAGACAGCTTGTGGGCTGATGGTGGTGGAATTTTATCGAAATGTAATTAGTTTGTTGTTATATTTTTATGACAAAATAAATGAAAAAATATTTGGCCATTTAACAGAAATTACTTAAATGATCTTCTTTTTATCCGACTATGATAAAATGAAAAGGAGGGTTATGATTTTAGCCGGTATGTATCTATGTTTGTAAGTATGCTCATCTGTTCCCTTATTACTTCGAAACTACTCATCGTAACTTTACAAATAAGCAACAGCGTCCTGTAGAGAGCATAAAGTAAGCAACCAGACTATAGCTTAAACAGGCTCTAAAAAGTTTATAACAAGAAAATTTGTTTTATAACGATATCTATTTTATAATAGCTATGACCAAGGGATACAATTTTTTTGCAGCGCTATTTAGTCTGGTTTTATTTTTTGAACTTATTTTTTTATATATCATCGAATAAACAAAAGGTATTTTGAATTATTATGATTTTGCCTCACCCTTTTCCAGTATCGTAACCAAATTGGTAACTGTGAGGCCCCTTCATTCCGTGCATACGAAATTCGGTACGGTCCTCGGGCGCTGGGGGCTCTTGTTTCTTCTGTTGCTGCTCTTGATGCTGCTGCTGTGGCTGTTGCTGCTGCGGATGGTGATCCTGATCCTGATGTTGATATTGCTGCAAATACGCTGGTGCCGGAGGCCTTTGCCTCAGTAGTGCAGGCCGAGGATGGTAAATATTATCTATAATATTAATTTTTCATTATAACTATGCACGCAATATTATAAATTTATAAGAATGTTATATTTCATACTCCTAACCTACTTTGTGAAAAGTTGCACTTTTCCTGAATGCAAGAGTTACTGGCTCTAATTTCCTACAAAATCCTACAAAGAATCAGAGATACTCATGCAAAACATGATTACAACATACTGTGTTCTTTCATTTTAGTATATTTAGGAGGGCTAACTGCTTAAATTACATAATTTACTTAACATCAAGTTAACATTAATTATTTCTGACCTCAACAAAAAGGTACATTTACACAACGTAATATTAAATATGTACTTTATAGTATTTGTTTTACAGTTAGTTATCCTCTTTAGATTATTTTTTAATTAAATAATTATTAGACAGCATCACATATACATTGCTCAGTTTCCAAGCTTTTAACACTTGTATAATTTAAACTCGAAACAACAAAGGTACTATTACATCCAAGCCCGAGACAATATACAAAAGTTTATTTTTCTACATCATCTATAAACCGGCGAGTCACTCGGCTACGGAGATCGTAAATGTATTTGTTTATGATAACAAATATTAAGTCACTTACTATATTGAATATAAGTTTAATAATATAATATATTAGTTGTTTTCCCGCGTCTTCGCCCACGTAAATATTAGCTTCCCGGGAGTAAAAGAAGTTTTTAAAATCGGTCACGCAATTCTAAACTTATTCAATGCAAACAAACAAACAAATAATTCCTCTTTATAATATTACTATATTTCATTTGAATCTGACTCTAAAATGTAAAAAACAATTTTTATTGATGTAAAAAACAATTAAATAGGTTTCATTTATTCACGAATACAATGTCAATAATGTTTCATTAAATTACCTTCAACAGACACAATAGCGTTTAGATTTATAATAATTATTAATTACTTGAACAATCGCATAATTACCATGCAATTTTCGGTATCATGGCCTTTCATTATTATTTCAATTAAAATAGAGAAACAACTAAAATAACTCAACTTTGTTCACATTAATTAGCATTAACAACATACATATTAGTCACCTTTATACATGGATGCATGAAAAATGTGAAAATTCAAATATATTATTTAGTTTATTTATCACAATTTGTACTATACTTAACGTTGAAATTATTACTCGGATTTATTCCTGATTCATTTTATAGGATTGATTATATCTACAATTTAGCGTGCAACATAAAATTAGTTCTGTTTCATAAACATACATCGCAACATCAATTCCAGGAAACTTCATCATGTCTAATTTTCAATGCTCAACTAATAATGTGCAGCGAAATTAATCACTTTTGATGTATCACGTAACGTAGTACGTACGTGGTTTTGAATGTAACTTTACACTCGCTATAATAATTTAATGACTTAGTTGCAGTTAGTTTTATGAGTTAAGTTTTCTGGTTCATTTACATAATAATGTTGTTGTTTACATACGTCCGGGATATCTGAAATTCGTTTCCGACGCATCCTGCTCTAGCGGAACTACGTCGTAATCATTTGCCGGCGCCTGTGGTGCTTCTTGTTCCTGTAACGAGTAAATAGTTTATTAAAACAAATTAGTATACGTTTTTGAACTTTATACTTAATTTATAAATCAAAATTTCATCGATGAGTTCAAAAGACTTTCTAATATTCATAGAGTTTTTATATAAAACCTTAATTAAAAATGCAAAAGATATATCATTGCTAATCAATCACACTGGAATTACTAAAAATTCAACCAATAGAACTTGTCTTGGATTCTCTACGCAAGTGATACTGTGGAAGAATCATATTTAATTAAGATTATCAACTTGCCTGAACTGCTTCATTTTCTTCTTTGAATTTACGTTTCTGTTCCGCTTGATCAAACAAATAAATCTGTTTCTCATCAATGGGTATTGCTATTGGATCTTCTATACCCGCTGAAGGCTTGAAATATTTGATGGGTTTAGCTTTAGGTGCTTCTAACGGTAAATCTTCAGCATACTGTGCTATCGGAATAGCTAGAGGCTTAAAAGTTCCAGGATATTTCTTTGGGTATAATTTTGTAGGATTTTTAAATTTACGATAAACCAGTCTTGGCGGAGTTAAATGAGAAGCGACGGTTGGGTACTCTCCATTCAGACGGTATTTAAAATCTGGATAATCTTTATTAGGCTGAATATATTGTTGATCAATTTCTTCAGCTGGCAACTCCAGTTCCTTAGAAGGTACATTGATAAAGAATTCATCAGGAGCATCTTCAGAAGGTGGTTCCAATTTCAAAGACGGTATAGGTATACTAATCATTTTTCCCGCTCTAGGTCGCTGATAAATTTCAAATTGCCCTGATTGAGTATCGTTTCTCATAAATATAGGTATTGGAGCACTTTGCTGACGCAATGGTAACAATTTAACTGACTGATCATTAGGTTCCGACTGAACTATAGGTTGCCAATCAGATTGTCCAGTAGATTCTGTAGGCGCGTAGTAATAATCCTTCTGTTTTTCAATGGATGGCGGCAAAAGATACGTTGCCGGTGTGACTATAGAATCTAATAATACTTCCTCATCCTTGTGAGGATTAGGAGGGATGAGATAACTATCTATACTATCTTCTCCATCAGATTCATAATATATCGGTTTGGGCTCTGACTGACTCGTATGATTCGATGGTTGAGCCGATTGATCTTCCTCTTCATTGTCTACAGGTACTCTGATTGCCGTTGCGCTGATTACTAGTGGCAAGATCTGTAAAAAAAAAAAGAATCTTATTATCTAACAATTCGGCAACTAGTTCTTTCTATTAAGGTCAAACGAAAGAAGTCAAAAAGAAAAAAGGTTTGAGTGTAATTGGACCGCCACCGCCGCTGTAGTGTCTAAATAAACTATTTCCGTTTGAAAATGGAATTAAAAGTATTGAAAGCGTTGCGTAATCTTAATTTTAATATAAAGTATGTCACAGTAAGATCACTAAAGTGCCTATTATTATTAGAAGAACGTTGAGTACTCAGTTTGAAATTGAAAAAAAAAAACTCTTCATAAATAAATCGATTTCATGCTAGTTGTCAAGTAACGATGAAGAGCTCTATTTGTGATAGATAATAAGCATGTTATCGAAGTTATATTCAATATTCATGTCAGCTACGCTTTTTGCTTGTCAAAAAGTAATAAATAAATGAAATAGCATTACATAAATGGTACTTTACCATACCTAATTGACCAAATAACACATTGGACATTTTCAGTATTAAAGTCAACTTAAAAGCGTTTCAAAAACAAAATGAAAGGCATTTAAAATAAAAAAGCATAATGACAAATTAAATACCTTTTACTAGTATCACAAAACATAATGAAACTTAATTTATTTATTTCTTTAATATTTTTTGTCTATAAAACAGTAAATGGCGGACTTCAAAAAGGCATTTGCAATTTCACATTTTTACATAAACATAAAATTATAGTGCATCAAACATTGTTCATTTAATTCTAAGTCATAATAATGTATGTGTGTATGTATGTATATATTCGCTGTATATATGTAATTATGTGTAAGTTTTTTTTTGGTATGTTGTAGTATGGTTATGATTAGTTTAGTATTTGTTGTTGTAGTTTTTTTAATTTTTTATTGCTCTGTACCGCCATCGCGTTTGCCTATTTTCCCAAATGTTGACTGGGAGAAAATGCTATTAGCATTAAGTCCGCCTTTTGTACCATCTTTATATTGATCAATAAAGTTCAATAAATAAATAATAGTCAACAGCCCACTTATTATTTCCTAATCTTGTAAACTGCGATTAAAAATAAATATAGTGATACGTTTAGAAAACTTATGTCATAAAACGGGAAATCATACACCGCCTTATTCGCTGCATCAGGAAATCAACAATGACATAATCACCAACAGGAATTATAAGAAAAATCGTTGACGTACAGTTGTGCAACATACCGCCTAATGTATTACGGACGTTTGTCTGAGCAACAGTGAAAAAAGAAAAAGACATTCACTGACCACGATCCGAAAGAAATGGACCGTGCACGGAAGTCGACTTTTTTCACCGACTCCCCCTCTGATGTAAGTTTTTCGTTGGCTAAACTTGACCGAAGTTCGCGTGTCGTCAACAGTTTTTTGGGTAAGTAATAAAACTCTAAAAAGCTTGTTTGTCTTTACCGTTTATAAATTAATTTCTTTGCGAAACGAATTTGAAAAACGAGCCTTGTTCGATTTCAAAAGAAAAATTTTAAGAACATAAATTGTTACGTAAGACCAGTGATAGTTACTAAGAAAATACAACAAAATATATTTAATAGATTAAGTAGCAACACAATATAGAAATTGGATTACATACTATTCTGTTCAAATTAATAGCTAAGGTATTTTTTGTTAAAAGTATTTACACGGACAATGTTCATTTTATAAAAGAACTTTGAAACTCTTTTAGCGCGAGTAATTTACAAATTTTATATGATGAATAAACAATAATAATATTGTTACAGAAATGACGATAGTGAATTATACCTCGACCCACCATACTCAAGATAATGATGAACCGGCTGCTCTACCGCGTAACCACACTAAAATCTATCCAATATTGGATTGAACAAAAATATGCTCAGCGTTCAATACTGTATTGAACTTTAAGGGCCGGTTTCACCGGTTGCTGATAAAGTCCCTGATAGTCTATCAGGAACTTATCTGCCAGATAAACTACAACTTTTGGTTTCACAGGTCTCGGATAAAAATATCTGGCAGATAAAGTATTAGATATGTTATCAGCCGATTCAAGTGGCTGATAAAGACGTTATCTGATAGATAAAAAAAAAGTTTCAATTGACGGGAACGAAAATAGTTTTAGTTTTAGACCATTATTGTGTGCTTTGCGTCGATTGAAGTCACAAGTGTCACAAATATTCTAAAATGGATTTATTTGTGTTTTTAGAAGACGAATTAGATGAATATTTCGAACGTATTACGCGACCCCGTAGGAATCGAGTAATTAACCCTAGACCTAATTATTTAAAATCACTTGACGTTCAAGATTTTAGGAATCGATTTCGGCTGTTGTTTATATTCTATCGTTAATAGAAAGTGATATTAAAACTACAACGGGCTACTAAGTAAAAAATCTCCATTAACTAGTAAATAAAGAAGCTCCGTTTCTTCTTAATTAAAATTCACACTTCTTTCACGTTTTTGTTTTTAATTATTAATTAACAGATCCAAAAAGAATACACAAAGAAAAGTTTAAAAATTGAAAAGCGTCTTAAGCACAAAATATCAACAAAGCAAAACAAATGATAGTTGCGTTTCGTTTCTGTAAACACGTAGCTAAGTATACGAATATCGTATTATTTTCATTCTAGAATCATAAAATTATAATTCAAAATATGTGAAAAAAGTTTACTTAAATAATATTGAACACAAAAAAAAATATTAATTAAGTTTTAAAAATGATTTTTGATTGACGATAATTTGGGTCGTTGTATTGAAACGCAAAAAAGCGACGTTGCCGTTCCGTCAACTTATAAGTGGCCGATAACTTATCTGCCAGATAAATTATCTAGCAGTTTGATGGTGAAACAGAAAAAAGTTAACAGCAACCTTTATCCAGTAGATAGCGTTAACTATCAGATAACTATCTGAAACTTTATCAGTAACCGGTGAAACTGGCCCTTAATTTTGATTCAATTCGATATATTGACTGTACATACTGTATCTAAGTATAGAGTATTGAACGCTGATTTCATCTTGATTCAATTAGCACTCAATACCTATATCTTTATAGGTGTAATAGGCAAACCAGAAACGGAAACACATTCAAACCGTCATCAAAGTTAAAACGGATGTAATAGTAATATTAATAAAAATACTATATACACAATGTGTGCTGTTCAACGTTATTTTTCTAGAAAACTAAACAAATATCAATATACTATAGATTGGAGGTTTATAAAACTTCATACACGATATATTATTATTCACCCGAAGCCTGTAACATTATGTACTTAGCTGGATTCAAACCAAATACGTTGCGAATATTTTCTCTTTAAAATAATAAACGAACGTGAATGCTCATTTATTTATACTTTGAAAAGTTTTAAATAGATTATGTCCTTTTTTATGTTAAACTTTTTGTGACAACGTTATGTGCTGCGTTATGCTTATATATTGAATATATTTTAAATGCCTGGGGACTGATATTGATGCCAAATATGCGATCTTATGTGTTTTCTTCATCGTTCGCGATAAACTCAAAAAAATACTGAACGGATCAAATTTTGAGTCCCTGTGCAGTTAATATGATATCTTTTTATTCTGAGCTGAATCTTGTTTCCCGCGGGTAAAACAACTGAGACAAGAACAACGAAAAAGATAGAAACTGTAGGTAAGTGTATCACATTGAATATAAATTGTATCTATAGAAATGAGAATAAAGCAGTAACAATCCATAATTTAAGAAAATAACTTCTCTCTTCCTCTACTTCTTAATTACCTCTTACTTTTGTAACGTATCTTTATATCTTAGTCGAGAGAAATAATTATTTGAGAATATTTCATAACTTTTATCAATTAAACAATAATTTTAAATTCGAATAAAATATATTGAAGCAAGAAAATTTTGACTACTCTTTACGGAATTTACGCTGGAGTACGAAATTTAGCTTAATTAAAATTCGATGGAGATCCAGAATGCGAATTTTATATTATATAGATAATAAAGGAATGCTTAAAAAAATATTAAATTAATTAAAAAAAACCGCCTTCGTGAAAAACAACTTAATGAAAAAGCTGGAACAAGATAAATATGCAACTTCATACAAAACATGCAGTCGAAGGCATGAAATTGATAAGTCAAATCAGTCTCTCTTTGTGCATGCATTAGTTGTTTTTCGCGCAGATGAGTTTTTTTTGATTTTTTTTTTAATTATAATTTTATTTATGAATTCTTAGTAAGACAAATTGGCAGGTTGGTTCAGAAAGTGAAAAAACAAAGTCCATACTTTTAAACAAATAATCAAATCATTCCTCTTTATAATATTTGTATATATAAATTGTAACTTCGAATATTTTTTCCCATTGTAGCTTGTTCGATGATAAAACAAATGGACACTATAATTCTTGAAGGAAGGAAGCTTTTAGATAGTATCGATTTTTTTAGTGAAAATAAATTGTAAATTTATGAGTACGAGTGTCTTTTGTTTCTTTATCTATGTTGAATACGTAGACCGATTTTGAAAATTATATTTTTATTCGAGAACTGGTCCCTACCGTCGAGACAAGTAATTACTTGAGAATGTGTCATAATATAAGCAGATATTTTTAGTAAATAAACAAGAATTTTGATGAAGTAGGAATATTATTATTACTAACTAGGAACAATTCGAATCCGCGTGTATTGGTAAAAATATTTTTTCAAGTTATGACTTTTTTCCAGATATGTGATTACGTCTCTCGACTATAGATACGAGTGTTAGACGACATATTTGCGTCGTCAGAGCAAACGAAATCACATAAGTATTTTTTATTTATTATAGAATTTTTTATGTTAACATCAAAATTTTGTGTATGGTAACACTAAAAATATATATTTTTTATATATTATAAAGCCGACTTCTAAAAAGGAATTATTCATCAAAAACGGTTTTTGGTTAATTAATTGCAAACCATTACGATTATGTATATTTGACAACCACCGAGTGATTCGCACGCCGATTTCAAGGCATCAGTAGCTCTGAGGTCCCGGGTTCGATTCTTGGTCTCTTCTAGAAGTAGGTAGAAAAAAGACTTCTTTATGTTGTCCCGGGACTAGATTTTATGGTACCTTCGTTGTTTCAGATACTTCAGATTACGATGGCTTTAGGTACTAACTTGAAATCTGTCATATCACATTTTTAATTATTTAGGTATTGTAAAAAATTGTGAAAGTAAAGCCTTAAAATTCCCTTTTACAAAGCTTTAAATGTTTAAAATTGTTCCCAATAATTAAAAGATTATATTTAGGAGAAGAATTTCAGAGGTATCTTTATAATTATCTTTTATATAGAAAATTTTATAAATTAATCATTGGCCTTTCAAAGTCCTTTACATTATGTGATACAGTTTTATCATTTTCAATTACAGATTTTTTTGTCAATATTTCTTTGTAAAAAAAATAGTCTTTGATTCTTGCTTAAAGAGCCTTTTTAAGAGAGAATATACTCTGGGTTCGCGTGATATCGCACTGAACGCCTATTGGATGAC